TATTGTTCGGAACGTAGAAACCTTGTACGTTTCTTTTGAGGAAGCCTGTAGGCAATCAAACTACCATGTACAGATATCAAGAAAAAAGATTTGGGTTTTTAGAAGGAAAAACTTTGCATGATTGGTCGAGTTGAAGGTGGTTTTACATACTGGCTTGTTATTAAGGGTTTAATTAAATGTAAAATGCTACATGTACATAATAAATGTACATAGAGATGTACATAACACTCACATAGAGTGGGGTTCACTTGATTTTTTAATTTTGGTGGAACCCACTCAATGTGAGTGTTATGTACACCTCTATGTACACTATTATGTACCTACAGCATTACTCTTAATTAATTAGTTAATAACTAAAAAATAACTCAAGAGCTTGGATGAGATGGCTTGGGTCTCTTCCAGCTTAAAGTGGTCTCGTGTTCGAGCCCTGGGAATGCAGCAGTGTTAAAACTCTTGAGGGAGAGCTTTGCCGCCCATGTGGTCCTACTCCGCTCGATTCCGGATTAGTCGGTTCCCTGTGGATCCGGAAACCGGAAGGTCCCTGTACCAAAAAAAAAAAAACTAAAAAAATAATCTTTTTTCCCACCCTAATTAGTTAAGGGGTTATTCGTTTGAAATTACGAAACTCGTGCAATGCACGAGGAAACAATATTACGATTGTAATATAAATTAATATATAAATAACATTAATCATAATTTACTCATTTTTTTAAAATTAAATCAGATTAAACACAGTCAGACCAGATGGACTGAAAGTTGGTTTATAACCATTCTAATTCGCTTAAATAAAATATTTGCTATCGAATTCATCAACACCAGTCGGCTGGACTGGTAAGATCGATACGATTTTCTAAAAATTTTGTTACATTTAAAATTATTTTAAATAAAATTACATACTTAAATAAAATAGATATTTATAAATTATTTACCAATTAGATTAAAGATTTGAATTTATAAATTGTTAGATATTTAAGTAACACATTTTATTTAAATTTATTGCAAAAGTACTATATATATTAAAATGTTTATAAATTAAAATCTGCACAATCCACAAATGATTTAACAAAATAACTTCATCGTTTCAATAACTTATATTTACTGTACATTAAAAAAATTATAATAAAATATTATTTATTCACATGAATAATAATAAAATTATGTATAAATATCTATAAAACAAGAGTATTTATAGTAACTGTAGGTTGAAAATTGTTCATTAGGTCGTACATAACATATTTGATGGGTTGGACATACGCATTTAATACGTCATGCAACCTTATGAGTTTTAGACTTGCATACCATAAGATTGCCGAACTTAAATATACTTTCCCATCATTAGACTGCAAGTTGCCGTTACTTTATTGCCTTCTGCTCGACATGTTCGTCCTACTCGGGTTAGAATTCTTGTCTTGAATTGGGACTCGTTGCTCTTTAGCCACAGTTCTTCTTTGTCGGATGATCGGTTTGGGAATTCAACTCGGCCGATTGGGTGCGAATGTTTTACTCACTTTTGTGGGCACGTTTCTCAACTTGGGGTCAATAAATTTTTACTTGCCCGATTTGTTGGTCTTTAATTATAATACTTTGTCAATTTTATATGTATTGTGTTTGTAGATAACTTTTTTTAAGTGATATATATCTTTATTAAAAGAAATATTATAGATTTATAAGAAAATATGTAAGAGGAATTTTTTATTAGATTTTGAATTACTTTTAAAATTACATTATTATTTATATTTAAAATATAATTTTCACTCGTACGGTTTGTCTTGTGTTATAATAACCGTCCAATTCATATGTAATGAATTTATAAATGACATTTTTAATGAAATATGTATTGTCATTGATTTTAATTGGTATTAATTGATGATTTAATTTTATAATAAAAATATTATTTTATTCATTTTATATATGCAATATGGATATCAACTCAAAATTTGTAAAAAAAATGACTAATTTAATATATTATATATAAAAGTCATAGTAAATAAGGAGATGTTATTAAAATTTAGGTAAATGCTATGGTCTCGTTACGAAATCATCTCGTCGGAAGTTTTAACCATTAAATCATCAATTTTATAGTACTAACTACATGTGTATCTAACGGTTAAAATTCTCGACGGAATAGTAGCACGCATTTTTTGACACAAATAGTATGAGGCACTATTCTCAAAATGTTTGTGACGCTAATAAGCAAACACACGCTTAGTGTAGCCGTACTAGACAGAAAAATAAGCGTCGTCAGATGGACACTCGCACCCCAAAAAAATCGTCGCAGGTTTGGAATAATGTGAAGTTATTAACTCACATGGCATGTGTAAGAAGCTGCTATTGCAGTCTCTATCACAGAAAGGTTTCGCACAGTAATCTTGTCGAGAAAGAGAAAGTGGCAACACGATAAAGTACACAGAGTAGGAAAGGAAGTAAGAACTGCAACTCAGCAAGAAAAAAGGGAAAATGGAGTCAAAATTGAAAGAAAGGAGCTTTTATCTTTCTACCAAGGAGAAACCCTAGTCGTGTGATTTATTTCTTCCCCAAAAGTTTCTCTAAAAGTTAGTTCGTCTTTTGTTTTTGTTTTCTGGGATTTATTGTCCGATCTGGAAGCAGTTCATTTTTGCTCTCATTTTGTTGTGGCGTTTTGGACGGTCGAAGGGTTTATCATTAGCGAGATTAGGGGAGTTGGGTTTGAAGTGTGAGGTCGTATTTCGTTGGATTTGATGTTTTCTGGTTCTGTAGTTTGAAGGGTTTGATATTTGGAGGGAAAGTCTGTATCGTTTTTGTTCCCAAGTTGAAGTAATTAGGAAATAATTGTGTAAATTAGGATACCTTTAATTTGTTTGTCTGAGAAGTGAATGCTAGAAGATAGTGATTGTATTGTTTGTCTGGAATTTGGTTGAATTGAGGAGCTGCTTCGAGTCCCTTTTCATCGTTTTATTTGTTTCTGTAATATTTAACTCGAGCTATTAGTGGAGATTTGCACTGGAGTGGCTGGGGGTAACTGCAGGTGTTACTATGTCGTCCTTGAGACGAGAACTGGTTTTCTTAATACTGCAGTTCTTGGATGAGGAGAAGTTCAAGGAGGCTGTCCACAAGTAAGTTGTTTGTATGTTTTTGCCTTAATTTTTGCATTTGATAATTTCGTGCGGCTATTGGTTACACACTTCGACATGTGATTATGAATAGAGTCTTGAAGTGAAACTGCAAATATCTTTTGCCTGATGGGCGTTTGGTGGCGGATTGCTAGATTTGAATGATATGCTTTGGTTGGGCATCCTGATAGTTTTCTTAGCTAGAATGACAAAAAGACATGCCTATATACTTCTTAGTTATGTGAAAAATCAACAACTTGATTGGATAATAGACACATGCTAGTGTATTTTGGTATGGCTTTTTGAACGGAACTTACTTATGGTTCTGTACGATGATAATTCTGTTGTAATTTTAATAAATTATGAATAATTTATCTAGATTGGAGCAAGAATCTTGGTTTTTCTTCAATATGAAGTACTTTGAGGATCAAGTCCAAGCTGGTGAATGGGAGGAAGTTGAGCGTTATTTAAGTGGATTCACGAAAGTTGAGGACAACCGTTATTCAATGAAGATCTTCTTTGAGATTAGAAAGCAGAAATATCTCGAAGCTCTTGACAAGTATGTAGTATTTCAAAATCATGCATAGCAGTTTGTACACACACACACACAAACGCACATGTCTTTTGATTGCAAACTATGTCTAATTATTTTCAGACAAGACCGCGCGAAAGCTGTCGAGATTCTTGTTAAAGACCTCAGGGTGTTTGCTTCGTTTAATGAAGATCTTTTTAAAGAGATCACTCAGCTTTTGACTCTTGACAATTTTTAGGTAACTTTTTTATTTATCAGTTACATTTCATTTCCGAGTCTTTTTCTTTCACATATCATTATGGGGTAAGCATTTCAGGCAGAATGAGCAGCTCTCCAAGTATGGGGACACAAAGTCAGCATGCAACATTATGCTGGTTGAGCTGAAAAAGCTTATCGAAGCAAATCCGTTGTTTCGCGATAAGCTAACATTTTCGGTTTTCAAGGCTTCAAGACTAAGAACACTCATTAACCAAAGGTAATCACCAATAATCTGATAATATTAAGAATATATAGTTTGGTTTTGTTCATAACCCTCTACTTGAATTATGTCCAGGTCTGCTCATATGCATGTTTTAGATGTTTAGTAGTTGAGGTCTCACTGTTTTCATGTCAAATTTTTGTTGGGTGGTTTTGCAGTCTTAATTGGGTGGTTTCCATACTCAAAAGCTGATTCAACTTTAACTCAACCTCACTATCCTCAATATTATCTATATAATTAAATAATATTAATCAATCATTTTTACACATCACATTAACTTTAGTTACTATTCATCCACTCACATAATTTTAACTAACCATGACTTCACATCATCTCTCTCTTACTTTTATGTCAAATCAACTTTAATTACTTTATTTTAAATATAATTTTAAAAAACTCAAAATCCCACTAAAAACTAACCATACCAACGTTTTTCTAAATTAACCATGGTTAACAAAAAAATAAACTCGTTTGCGCGGATATATTTGTATACAAACACGCCCTAACTCGCTGAGCTTGTTCAACTTTCGAAGTGTCTTGATTAGTGTTTTATTTGGACATTTCATTCCTTTTAGGCTTTTCTCCTGTGGAACAAGCAAAGAGGGCGAATCTCATCTGGTCGAGTGGAATGAAAGTGAAGGAGCCATCAAGAGGGCATACTCTGGTTTTCGAAAGCGTTCTTTGGGTGTTGTACAATTCGACACGACTAGGGACCGTTTTTTAGCGGCTGGTGACGAATTTCAGATCAAATTCTGGGACATGGACAATACAAACATCCTTACTTGCATAGATTGCGATGGTGGACTGCATGTTAGTAGTCTCTTGTACATGAAAGGCAAAATATAGATTGAAGCACTTGTATTGTCATGATAAAATGTAAATCCTTAATTTTTTTTTTTCCTGCATTCGTTCTTGCAGGCTAGTCCCAGATTAAGATTCAACAAGGAAGGTTCATTGCTGGCTGTAACAACTAGTGACAATGGAATTAAGATTCTGGCAAATATCGATGGGCAGCGTATGCTTAGGATGATAGAGGCCAGGGCTTTTGATGGTCCCCGTGGTATTTCTGAAGCTGTTAACGTGAAAGTAAATATTTGATCTTTTCCTTTTTCTTGGTATTTTTTTGATTTTGTTTCTTTAGCGAGTACTAAAATTACATCATTTTTTTTTTATTTTTTTTTTACAGATACAGCCTTCTACCTCAGCATCTCCTATCCTTGAGCGTAATGATAGAGTGCAGCTGCCAATGTCACTTCTGGTAATTCTCGTTTTCTAGTTTGATCTGTGAGTTTGTCAGTTGATAATTGAAAGTGGTTTCTGTTCAAAATTATACTATTTCTATATTTGTCTTCTCATTTCATCCGAACAAATTTTCAGTCTGGCATGGAAAGTGGGAGGCTAGCTGATGTAAAACCGAGAGTTCACGAGGCAATGGAGAAACTGAAAACCTGGAAATCGTCCGACATATCTGACCCATCTCAACTCAAGAATTTGAAACTGCCTGACCCTCTTACACCTAGCAAAGTATGTTATGTAAATCAAAATTTTTATTTTTTTATCTTTTAATTTTTTTGAGTAAGATCTGCAATTTTTAGTTGTTCAAAGTCTGATTCTTGATGCACGTCGATTATATGCCATGGACTCTTTTTACTGTGTTTTGTGTCAAATTCAGGTTGTGATTTTTTTTTTTTTTTT